CAGTAGACCTACATCTGGGTGGTGAAATGATGCTCCACCTCAATTTGTCGCAAGAATAAAAAACATATCTTCACATATTGTCACGTATCCCAGCAGCAAGGAGGCCAAAGCTGTGGGATTCTGCAAGTCATAATGCTCCCTTGCGCCAATCGGAGGGTTCTCGGGTGCACTTGTGGCCTGCAAGTTGAGTGCCAGCCGGCCAGAGTGTGGATTCTCGACCACCACCTGCTGCAGTTCTTGTATGGCAGGCTCGGTGAGCCTCGGGCAGAGCATCACTGTAAGATCCAAATCGCTGAGGCGAAGAGATGGCAAAGCAACAGTCAGAGGTCGGATGTTGTCAAGGAAGCTGAGCTTCGAGAAACAGAGGTGCAGCTCTTGCAACTGCTCAAGCTTCGGCAAAACTTGGCCCAATCCTTTTAGGCAGTGGAGAGATGAACCTTTGAAGGAGAGCGAAAGGCTTGAGATGGGTCGGTGACCAAGTTCCTCAAAGCATTCCAAGGTGTGAACACCGGTGAAAGCCAGGTCCAAGCGGAAGATTTGCAAAGCGGAAGGCAATGACGACATCAAAAGCCCTAGTTCTTTGTCACTGAAACGGCGGCAACCGGTGAAGGAGAGTTGCACAATCCTTCGAGTCTCATCCCGATGCAAAATCTCTGACATAAGACGCCGGTTTACATCGCAACCAGTCTGGGAAGAGTTTTTCTCCAATGCGTACCAGCAGGCCAAGGCAAAGTGCGAGCCAATGGCACTGTTGATCCTGTCATAGTTCGGGTGATGATCAGGATATGAGCACTCCAAGCTGATAGTGCTGGCTCGTGGAAATGCTATGGTGTTCAAGACCAGGTTTTCTTCTAACTTTCGGGCAGATGTTGCCTCACCTTGGATGGTTCAAGCTGATTTGCTTGGTTCAAATCATTGCTCCCACTCCGCTGAGGAAAAGAAGTCCTATCCTGTTAAGTCACGGTCCTTTCATTAGACTCAAGGTCTTTGAAAGCTGTCAAGAATCACACTAAAGTACAAAAAGATAACTTGCATGAACGTGCAAACAATGTGTATCTCGGCTACTGAACGAATACAGAGCGATTTTTTCTACCAGAATGTCTAGACATCCAACTGAACTCTACCCCGCAGACTCGATTTCTGATCGAAACTGCGTGATCGAACCTGCTCGTTTCTCAAAACTGCCTGAAACACGACGAGGTGGCGTATGTCTAGCCTCAAGGCATGATGGAGAAGCTCAGCCGGGAAATTCGCTTCACGACAGGCCTTGTGGTGCATGCCCCGCAGTGGCGACATGAGCTGCTCCTCTGCTGTTAGGCCGTCGGTCAAGATGCTGGCGTGGCTGTTCATTGCCTTGGATGATGGAACAGGAAAATAGTAAGGTCGGTAGGTAGGTGTGTTCAGAAATCATACTATATATTACAAGAAATTAGAGTCTGATTCTCGGAGAAAGGCATTTCCTTAGACTCTATTTTGGTAATTAAAAATATGTAAGATTATATAAGATGATATTACATATGCATTGAAGTTAGCATGATTACACTTTGCTGCGCAAAGCTACGAAGTAACAAGCTGAGCTGTACAAATATACATATAATATATATATATAGTATGTATGATCCGACTTACTGGAAGCAAGATGCTGTGAATAGAGAATACGTCTTTTGACAACAACGTAAGGATATGTCATGTAATGACCCCTTACCGATCTGAAAGTGTTGTGTTACTTCACAACCTGCGCGCACCGTCCTTACATCTGCGCAGACAGTGAAAAAGGAAAGAAAATAACGAAAGCAAGTACTCCAATGTTACAGGCATATTTTTGCAAAGGAAGGTGGGACTAAGAAAAAACTGTAGACTCGAACCCAAAAAAAACGCATGTCTTATCACACGAATGAGCCGTTTTTGAACGCTCGATTTTTCATTCCCTCAGTTTAGACTCCATCAACTCCTTTCATCACCAGATCCTTTCATACCCCCCTTTCTGACCAACTAGATGAAATATTCTCAAGCAATCCCAAGGGTGCAGTGCCGACATCCAACAGAATGGGATGCTCGGTGTCTCTGCGCTCGACCACCAGTGCAAGCTCAAAGACACACCAAATCCGTTGCGCCGGAGTGAACACGTCGTACAACACCAGCAACATGCCATCACAGTTGCCCAACCCGCGGGCAAAGCTGTTGCGCCGTGGGTTTGCAACTGCAGAATCTGCTTCAGCTAGATCATGTTGGTTGTGTGCGAACCCACCTCCCCAGTAGGCTGTTTGCCGCGAGAATTTCCGAACCCGGGCATGCCTTCGCACGCATTCCACATACCTGCAAATCGAATTGGCCCAAACGAAGCTTGTGTACCATGTGGGCCGTTGCTGCTCTGCATCAACTGCCATTAGCTCCACCACACTGCAGTGAAAAACTTCAGTGGAGGGTTTCAGCACCCATCGCCTGCCATGGTACATGTTGAAGGTCTCGGGATTCAAAGGCACAAAAGTGGGCGATGCTTCTTTCTCCTCAGCTTCTTCCTCACACCACAAGGAGGCCATGTCAGATGTGAAGCCACAAAACACACAGAGCTGCTCCAGGGTAATGCCGCGCTGCGCCGCATCTGGGATGCGACACACCTCGCGTGACTTGGGGCTAGGCCGGTTGGGCTTGGGACTTGGGGCGCAAGCGGTGCCGTCCGAAGGGAAAATGGTGGGATGTCTACAGCCTATAAGCAGCCCACAAGCTAGGCTGTAGAAGGATGGTATGTAGAAGGATGGTATGGCTGGGATGTCATGGTGGAATGTTGGATTTGAAACAAACAGCCTACAAGGTGGAGCTATGGCCTCAAGGCGAGAGGTGTGCAGGATTGGTGATGCCCGGATTGAGGTTCAGTTCAGTACTAGCCCATCTAGAAGATACCAAGAACCACGCAGTCATCTGTATCATTGGGTTCTCATGAGGTGGTTAAGTCTCAGATTCCTGATGATGTTCCACCAAAAGAAGCAAGATTCCTACCCCCCTCCCCCAGCAGACCCTCTCCACACGATCTGCCTCGCGCGGGCCCAGGCGAGGTCCCAGCTCTGAATAATCAGCCAGGCTCAGCCGTACCTCCTGAGACTTTGCCAGTTCGAAGACCTCCTGATGGAAGCAAGTTCCGATGGGAAAGTTTGAAGTACACGAAAGGTCATCACTAAGGTTTTCAGCACTCTGATTTGTTGGAAGCTGCACAAAAACAACCAATCACAACCCAAAGCAACACAACCCAAAGACCCAACCAATCACAAAAAGTGTTCGCGCATTTGGTTGATCAAAAGCGCTCAAGGGGCAAAGCAACAAGGGGGAGGCTTGAAGGCTTGCCAAGGATTTGTCACCGTTGCAAAGCGGCTGTAGACGAGGGGTGAAGGGAAGCCTCACACCAGATGTGGGAATTCAACCAGGAGCCTCAGGGCCAAACTACATCCACTTGCTGGGCTGGTCTTCTTTCTGCAGCCCTTGTGCATATTTGAGCTCCATTCCCCGCGAACTACATGTGAGCCATGGTCACTTCAAATACATGGTCCAGAATCCTATTCTGCCAGACATGGATCCGAATGATCCTGGTCATCACAAACAGCTCCAAAAGACCCTGTTGTTAAAATCGTGTAGTGCAGGGGTGAGCTCCAGAAAGAAACAAAGACGAAAGAAAGAACACGCGCGTCAGGCCCTCCATCTGGATCCGATATTTGCGGCAAAGTCTTATATCAATCAAAAGGGCCAAAGATGATGCCCAAAACGTTAGGCATTTCCTTCACAGGTCTTTTCCTGGTCTGAAAACCTTAGGCATTGGTTCAACCCCAGGCTCCATGGGGTCGGTCTAACCTTTGACTGATAGAAGATGGTCGACGGCCTGAGAGGCAGCTGTATGAGGGCCGTGGGCCATGGCACCATGTACCCCTGATGCCTATAGTACATCCCACTGGAGCTACACGCCGCCACCATGCCCTTCGGTTTGCTGGGTGCAGGTGTGTTATCTTGAAGTGATGACTGCAGGTTGAGCAAAGGTGCAAAAGGACACAAAGAAAGTGCTCAGAATTGGGTCTGGATGGCCATACTTCACTTCCCAAGCAGTTTCTCTATTGTCCACCTGGTGCCTTTTCCGCGCGGCCTCTCCTGCATCGTGTCTCCTTCTCCCAGTTGCCAGGGCCCATAGGACAGCATCCGCACACCCCAGGCATTCTCCGGTCGTGGAAGAAGCGCGAGCAGCTGAGCCATCGTGGTCGTTGCATCCAGCGCAACTTCCAGAGAGACCCTGCTGCTGACCACACGCGTCCGCATGGCGCGCGTGTCAAGGCGATCAGTGCATCATGGGCAAATGTGAAAACTGTCAAACCATGGGCCATGGGAGTAGCACTGCTTGATCTGCTGAGTCTGCTGGCAAATCTCAGAACGACTGTGCTGTTGAGTCTTGATACCACGGTTTAGTATTTAGATGTGCTTATAGATCTTCTTGTGGGCATGATACCCCTAACACCAAACACAAATGTAAGACTTCAACAGCCTTGATCCTCATGAACGGTGGACAGTGGCCGTCTGGTCTGGTCCCAAAAGAGTACCTTGGCAGACTTCCGGAAGCTGTTCCAGCTGATGTATCCGTAAGATGTAGAGGAAAAGGATCCTCCATCTACCGCTATCTACCGCTATCTTCCAGCTGGGGTTCTTCAAATCCTTCTCTGACGGAGGGGTTCGACCCTTTGCAACCTGTATTCTGATCAGAAGCTTCATACTGAGGGTGATCTGAAAAGAACTTTCCACAAACTTCAAAAAAAGAAAACAAAGGGACATTCTCACATCTGAGAAGTCTGCAAAGGGTCTGGGATCTTAGCTTAAGCCATCTTAAGCCGCTTGATCAGCGAAACCAGCATCCATCTACTTGGTGACTCCATTTGGCAATGGATCATCATGACCCCGGGCGGAATGCAACCCCCTGGGAGTATTTGTTTCACTCGGGCTCGGCGAGAGCAGCCAAGGGCCGAGGCAGCCTCTGCTGGAAGCATCTGCTCTTCCTTCGGCGAGAGCAGTTGCTCTGGCTGCTCCTGGACCAAGTGCTTTCACAGTTTGTGTGAATAGCCAGAAGCGGGGTGGAAGGTTGAACACCTCATCTATATGTGTACTGTGTACAGTATATATATATATAATACATCAATCATCCGCCCTCCAGCCCCTTCATTCAACGAACATGTGCGTGCTTAGGAACCATGGGTTTTTGGACCAGAAGCGTATACCCCGTACCCCGGTACTCTGACGATCGGTACCTGGCGGTTCGGGACGTGATCTGGCGGCTTCAAACCGAGAGATCTACTTGATCTGACGCCCCCTACATTGGCTTCCTGACACTAAGTACGTCACCCCCCGGCACCAAGCGTAGTTCACTGAAAACCTGATGAACTGCTACCAGTTACACCACACCGACCATGTACATCATGTACCACCCACAAGGACGTCACCATCGGTAAATTTCTATGTCCCCGAAAGCAGGCTGCAAACCCAAAGTGTTGATTATAGTATTACTCGCCAGCTCAAACAGTAGCTATATAACTTAGATACATTTGTACCCACCTAAGTTACCCAGAAGGCGCATGCTTGGAATTGCACCACGACGCATGGTGTTCGATGGGTCAAAGGCTTCGTGCTCATTGAAAGGCACGGAGGGTGCGGCGGCACCCTACCGTACGCGGCGGAGAGTTCCTCGGTGCCATTTGCGCGGTAACCACGCGGGAACCCCGCGTCATTCGGTCAGTTCGGCGTTGTTTTTGGGGAAACAGATGGTGGATCTCTGCGCGATCCAAAGAACCACCCCCAGGAACACCTGGCCGGCCCGTGTGGAGTCCAAGACCGGCGAACTGCGGCTCCTGCTCGGCGGGCTCTGCCTGGCAGTGAGGAGCATCTCCGCAGATGGGCGAGTCGGATTGTACTGACACGCCCCGGAAGGGTCCGATCAAAATGTCTAGAAAATCCCTAGTCGAGAATATCCTCGTGAAGGGTGAAGGGTGAACTGGTTGAACATTGTTCGAAGCCATTTCTTCGACTCCGATGTCGGTGTTTTTAGAGATGATCCATCCATATCCTTCGTTCTTCGTCGCCCTTCGTAGGTTTGCACGTCTCATGGAACCGTAAAGCCCCAACTCTCCAGACGTCGTACTCCTTCCTCGGGCCCGAGAGCAGACATTCGATCGCGGTCCCCGTGGTCGTTCTTTGTGTCATGCCATAACGACCGACTCGGTCACGTCGTGCATCAGAATCCCGACGCGGAAAAAAGATCGACTTCACAGTCCATGTTTGGTGAATCAAATTCAAAGGCCCCATAGTCCGATTGAAGGCCTCACAGTCCGAATCCGACTTCTGGGGCCATGTTTGGTGAAACAGTGACGTGACGGTTTCCGCATGGCTCGGAACGTCTGGTGGGTGTAGACACTCCAGGTGATCCACGTTCTCATGGGAAGAAAAGGAATGCAATCATCATCATCATCATTATCATCATCATCGTCATCTGAGTAGCTTATGCCTGAAACCTACAGTACTTGCCAGTAGCGTTAGCGCTGGTAATCGACTCATTGCAATTTCTGAGCTTTCGTGGGGGCTAATTACAGAAAACAATTTTCTCCCAAACTTTGACTTCCTAACCCAGGTCATGCACCACCTGTGCCACCTACGAATCATGCCTCAGGCGTACCCCACGTTCCGCGCCCGCGTTCCGCGCCCGCTTTCCAACATTTGGGGGACATGTTTGGGCGACTGATTCTTGATAAACCCCTTCTTCCATGTACCCGAAGGCACATCCACTCGAGCTGAGCAAAGGCACCAAAAGGTTGCACCACTCCACAGAGATCGTTCTTGAGATTTGAACCACTCCGCCAATAGATGCCTGTTCCAGGCATCCTGAAAGACATGGCAGGTAGTGAGCCCCCTCCATGTCCTTCTCAAATTGCACACACATGGCAAGCTACAATGTGCATGTCTTGCTTCAACTGCAACCCTGTTACCTTCAGAACGTCATCGCGGGGTCATGCCGCCCCACTGATTGCACTAACCGAACCGTTTCAGGATGCAGGACGCAGCCTTTTTTCATGCACCAGCCATTCAATCACCCCGTCGTAACACAAATTGACCATCTACAGTAGAGGAGACCGTCTGCAGCCTGCAAAAGCAAGCTCCGCAATCTCCGTCGCTGAGTTGGAGATGGTCACACTCGCCAAAGAGCTGCAGTTTGCAAATGCAAAACAAGCAATCGATCTCACCGAAGGAATGCTCACACTTACCAAAGAGCTGCAGTTCAGAAAGGCACACTTCCCAATGTGGGTCACAGAGTTTGGGATTGCCACCTGTGTCAAAGATCGACACTCTGCAAAAGCATGATCACTAATTCCGGTCACGGAGTTCGGGATGATCACATATGTCAACGAGTTGCACTTTTCGAAGGCACCTATCCCAATGTGCCTCACTGAACTTGGTAGAGTCACACTGGTCAAAGAAGAACAGGCTGCAAAGGCGCTGTCACCAATCTGGATCACTGATGCCGGGATGGTCACGCTTCTCAGAAAGCTGCAGTCTTCAAACGCCCGCCTCCCAATGTAGGTCACTGAATTCGGGATGGTCAGACTTGTCAAAAATGCGCAGGCTGCAAAAGCACGATCACCAATCTGCATCACAAACTCAGGGATGGTCACACGTGTTAAACAGCTGCAATTTTCGAAGGCACTGATGCCAAGGTGAGTCACTGAGTTGGGGATGCTCAAAGTTGTCAAGGAGCGGCAGTTCATGAACGCAAAATCCCCAATCTGGGCCTCTGGATCGGGGATGGTTGCACCCAACTGTGTCACTGAGTCTGAGATTGTCACGCTTGTCAAAGAGCTACAGTTTTCAAAAGCACGCTCGCCGATATGGGTTACTGAGTTGGTTATGGTCACACACATCAAAGATCTGCAGAATGCAAAGGCCTCCACACCAATCAGGGTCACTGAGTCCGGGATGGTTAGTTTGGCTAGCAAGCTGCAGTCTAAAAATGCGTCTGCAACGATTGTGGTTACATCGCCTGGGATTTCAACAGATAGCAGAGACATCATGTCAGCATCACTACCACATGTGTTGAAACTATGCTTGCTGGAACATTTCACTGTATTCTCCTTCAAGACAAATGCCACATCCGACTCCGGAGTGACGCCTGCATCGACCACCTTTTCATCATCATGTAGCAACTTATTGCCATCGACGGCAATCTCCAAACGGGTAGTTCCACGCGTCAGCTGGTCCACCCAAACCTTTTGCTCTTTGATCTGCTCCTTAAGTTGTCGACCAGTCATCTCTGGCGTGACAGGAAGAACAAACACGTCGCCGTTCAACTGCTTGCATGAAATCAAGAATTCCATGCCCATCTGATCGCGGAATCCGATCCTGTGAAACAGGATCTCTTTACTTAGAGCCCACGGCTCAACCCCTCTAACAATCCCACATGGTCTGGTGTTTCAGTCAATTTTATGATTTCACTTGGCATTAACAAGTAACTGCTGCCAAAGTCGCCACCCACTGGATAGACCTGGGTGGCCAAAATAGCCGAAAAAGCTGGCGCAGGGGCTATGATTATTCCTACCAAGTTCTTGAGCCGCCAACGCGAGAAAACCGCTTCGCAAAAGCCGCGCAAAAATAACGCGCCCAAAACCACTCGCGGCGGCAGGAAGCCGTTCGAACGGTGGAATCTGGTGGGATTGGCTTCCCCTTCGAATTTCGGTGCCCTCAAGTTCATAGAGTCCTCAAGTCCTGAATTTTAGAGAGGTTGTTGTGGACTCTTTTTTGCCCAAGTCATTCTAATTATATCACCAGGCGATGCTCCTACGCGACACCCGCTTTGGCGCCCCAAAGGGATGTAACTAACCCATGTCAGTGGTGCCAAGCGCTGCCACTGTAGGATCAATCGTGGCTTTGTTTTGGCCGTACCCAGAGTCATAGTGGATGCAAAACAATTGCACTCTGACTCACTAACATGGAAGTGGATGGCATGGCCCCTTGGAAGACCTTTTCCTGTACAAACAGGGGGGGCCATCCACGTCCATGTGATGTGTTTCGTCGGAGTGATCCACAACCTCTTCGTCTCATTTGGTTCGTCCAGACACACCGCCTTCACGGCGCGTTGGACACTCCTCTCGAGTTCCTCCTGTTCCACCTGAAGGTGGAGGCGCCGTGGATCTTTCTGAATGACAGAAGTTCGTAGATGTTCACGAAAATGAATCAATTGGAAAGTGTGCCACTGTCATCTATTTGGATACCAAAAAAAGCACGGATGAGATCAATGAAGTGCTTGGATTGGGCTTGTGACTGGTATTCCCCATGATTCCTGACCACAGCTCCATTGGACTCTTGCGACTGGTTAATTGGTATTGGCCATGTTCCGAGCTATTCCAGTGCCTTTGGATACATGACATGTCTCATGATCCTCAGCCTCCCCAGATCTAGTGGAGTACGCTTGATCCCAATATCATCCAATATCCAGGTATCTTCTGGGCAGCAACAACTGGCTTCAAATCTTCGCATCGACCCCTCGACCCATCAGCGGCGAGTCCGCCAACTGATGTCTCGCACCGCCAAGGGTGGGACGAACTCGAACGGTCGAAACGAACCAAGTGTCCGAAACGAAAGACACCCCTTTTTGGACCAATGGCATCCGAACCGTGCTTTGCTGGGATCATATGGCAATAGACCTGGGAAAGCCAACCAGAAACTGAGAACGTTCCATCGGAAATGGCGACTGGGGAGTTCCAGAACTGTTTCGTGGACTCGTGGACGATGTTTCGCCACGACACGCACTAAGGCAACGGGTCAGGCAACGGTCAGAACACCAACGGCCAGAAACCTGGAGTTCAGGAGTCACAAAGGGGTTTAGTCCCTACGTCAGTGGATCATGGGCACCCCTGTGTGATGAAAGATGGAGAGGGTGTTGGCTTCTCGCCTTCATCTGCTCATCTTTGATCTGCACCTCCAGAGCGAGCATGCGGGAAGAGGCGAGGGGCTGAGGCCCAACAGAATGGAGGTGGATCAGTTTGAGTTCTAGTTGGATTTGGAAACCAATGGGTCCAAAAACGAGCGAATCAACTGCCATCCAACGGTTCCAAAGACTAAAAACTCAAAACGGTTCCGCAGCACCTCAGTTGACCTACAAACTGGTGAACCTCGATGGATCTGGACGGCGTGCTGGCCATATGGTGGAGACATGTCCACTGTGGGCCACAGCATCGGGGTCCACATCTGCACAGAACCGGGGGACCAGCTGGAGCTTGTGAGCGAGACCTCCTCCCAAGAACTCGAGTGAGGATCTATCTCATGGATCTATCTATGATCTATGCCACTGACAAAACAAGAAGCCCAGGGGCTTTTAATTGCTTTCGAGCTCAAGGTCTTGGGATATGCCCCCACAATGGTCTCTGGTCAGCCAGCGGTGAGCGAGTTTTCGCGAGCAATAAGCTTGTAACCCTCCAATGCAATCGCGCTGACTCAAAAATACGGCAAGAACCTTAGCTTCCAGTATATGTAAGTCTATGTAAGTCTGACTTCCCAGCGCAAGTCTTGGCTTGGGAACCATGAGTTCCAAAGCGCTGACGCCACGCCGTCCCTGTTCGGAAACGGCACCTTCCGCTTCTCGTCGTCGGAGTCGGCCTATGTGTTCGACCGACGGTCGCGGTGCAAATGGGAGGAAACACCCCCAGATCGATCCGCAGTGGGGAGAAAAGGAGGGGTGGTTTTCATCGTGTTCTCTTTGAATTGTTTCTTCCCACTCATCAACCAAATTCCACGCTAGGCAGAGGTCTTCAAAAAAAAGCTTTTGGACCTCTTTGGACTGAGCATTCGGAAGCTCCCCTCTCGGACGGACATCCTTCCCGAGCTGCGACTGGCCAAGCACTCGTGTTTCTGCGAAACAGCGAAGCGTTGGAGATCAAACAGCCCACGAACCCACGCGTTGGATCTGGGCATGGACGATGACTGAAGGGCCCCGAATCCGCGGGGGGGGTCCTTTTGTTCGGCTTGCTCACCACGCGTTTGGATGGACGATGACGGTTGCTTCAAGCAAAAGGCCAGCTTTTTTTCCCGTTCCACAGTATCACGGTTCCATGTGTCAAAAGACCCAACTTGGTTCCATTCAACCTACTAGTAACAAGTGCCACGCTACTAGAAACAAGTGCCTTACTAGTAGTGACAAGAAGAATTTAATTAGAATTGTAATTACTAGCAAAGGAGGAATGACTTGACTGTCCATGGGATCGATCAAGTACAGGCGGTTTCACCGCCTCTCGCGTCAGTGGCTCCACTGCAGGCGCCATCACTGGAGCCTGGCGACGGTCACGACGGTAGTCGGCACGACGGTCGGCTTTTTGCGAAGACCTACAGGGCTGAAACCCATGGTGTGTGTGACCACTTTGATTCCTTTGCCTTTGCTATCCTTTCATTTGCTTTTGGGACATAACAAGAAAGGAAATACTTCAAGAAAAGGGACGCAGAAATGCACCAAAGAACAGAACAGTTGCTTTGCACAGATGGTCTTGGAGTCCAATTTCAGGTTCTATTCCATATTCGGGCTGAGAAATGTATCCAACTGCTCTACTCGAATTTCCGATTTCTCCGGTTCTATTCTATTTTAACCTACCATCTATTGGACCGCTTTGAGAAGGTGTCAAAACAACCTCGCCTGAACGGCCCGTTCCGCGGACGCGCAGCACAGCAAAGCCGCCCAGAGCCGCAGCCGGAGCCTCGAGTTCGTGCGTTCGGCACCAAACAGAATGAGGGAAATTTCACCACCGTAGATCCTTCAGGATCCCACCCATTATTCCTTACTACTAACAAGTGCCTCGCTAGTAGTAACAAGTGCCTTACTGGTAGTAACAAAAAGCTATTAACTTTTTTTTATTTTAATTCTAATAGCTTTTTGTTACTACCAGTAAGGCACTTGTTACTACTAGTAAGGCACTTGTTTCTACTAGCTTTGCTAACGCTCCACCCCTGTAGATCCTTCAGGATCCCACCCATATTTCGTATACGAACACGGTGCACCAGTCAGAAGAAAGGTGAAAAGGCTAAAGAGTGGGATCTGTTTGGATGCTCGGACTGATGTGGGATCCTCAGTTCTGGTCTAGGAACCAATGCGGTGTACACATCGGTGGGACAAAAAATGAACCTCTGGAATTCGGTCTACTGAACCTCTACCAGCACCGCGGAGAACCCGGGTGTCGAATAGCTCCTGAAAAGAGGTCCATTCGGGGTGTCCAGGTCTACCACCCCGACTGGGGGTCCAGCTATGGGGCTGAAATGCTTTGGGCTCCTCTGGGGCAAACAGCCCCTTTTTGCATGAAATTCGTTGGGCTCCTCCGTGGCCGGCATGGTCGAATCGTTTCAACTCAAAACATCCGAAGTCAGCCTGAAATGCTTTGGGAGTCATTTGTATCATCACCTGCGATGAGTTTTCTCTGCAATTCTAGAGTTCCCCTTGTGCAACAAAGGCCCCACCAATCCGGACAAAGGAACCATGACCACTAAGAACAACGTGGTCTCCCGATCAAATGCCGAGCATGGGTAAGGTCAAGTGACTCCAGGAGTGTCACATGCACATACTGAGATGGCCGTGCTGCCTGGTGCTTCCCCAGTCACCTGTATTGCTGGACTTCTTCCTGAGTTTATTGGTGGCAAAACCGATGTCCAGGGGTCCACAGGTCCACGCCTTTGCAAGATCTCTTCCTCACTCAAGCTCCCTGCCTGGCAGACTTGGAGGCCCACGGATGGCGCTGGAGAAGGAAAGAAAAACATGAACTAGCTGTGGGAAGGACAAAAGCTCTGACACACCCTGCCATAACCAGCCTGCTTAGGGGCCAGTGGTGGTTCTTTCATAACTGTCGGCCAACTGTGCAGATAAAAGGATGACTGCAAAACCCATCGTGTTCAGAAGAGTCTGTGTTCTAGATGGTTGGGGAAATCCCGAATGAAAGTGGTTTGTGTCTAGAGTCTAAATGGTCCTTGGAAGACTTTTGTCCCAAAGTAGGACCAAGCCCTAGCCCAACAGCACAAGGTCGAAATCATGACGACCTGCGGACCAAACCAGCAGAATTACTTAACCCGTGAGTTCGGAGAGGCTGAAATTACTGTGCAAAGGAAACAAACAGTTTCAACCCAACTAAAAAATGCGCGTCATGTATAATTAATACTAATATGAATGACAAATCGTACTAAGTATTGGTTGAAACTCTACAGTCAACCTCATGTATTTGACACCACGAGATTCTTTTTCATGAAGTTCGAGACACAATGAACCGGTAGGCTGCGTTCATGGTCGCCCACTCCATCAACGAAACCCTCTGGATCCACGCCTGAGAAGCGCCTGCCCAGCGACGACTCAATCGACAAATACATGCATGTATATATATATATACACGGTACATAGATACGCACTCGGACATGCATGCTCCAGGCAAATATGGTAGACCTTTGGGGGGGTAGTATATGTGTATATATATATATATGTGGGTTTGTATCTTTAGTATAATATATATATATACATATATATTTTGGGTTTGTATCTTTGGACACTGGCGGCCAGGGGACAAGGGATTGGGATCACTAGGGGTCCACCGTGAATGTAATCGAGCTACCCCAATCCTTCTATCATGTTGATAGAGCGATGTTCTTTATGTTCGTAGAGACACTGGGTGATGCAGGTCAAAATAATCTAACCTGAGAAGACTTTGCTTTGTCTCCCTTTGTCTCCCTTTGTCTCCCATGGCATGTCTGGATGCTGGGCTGAGATGATGTTGCTTTCTCTCCCTTTGTCTCCCTTTGTCTTTTGCCGCTGCTGTTTGGGGTCAACGCTGGTGTAGTTTAATCCTTGTCAAGCATCCTGACAGTGTCACTTCTTCTTGATGACCAAAGCCATGCCCTTGACTTTGCACGGGCTGACTTCACATGACTCTGCTGAGTTCTACATATCTCAAGAACTTCCTACTCTTCCCACCCCTACAAATCGTCCATGTGCCTGACCCTGAAACCGCCTCTTCCTCTGCGGCAGGCTCATCCATCTTCAGACTCCTCTTCCTCCTCCTCCTCCTCCTGCTCCTCCTCCTCCTGGCTCTGTTGCCGCGCGATTGGCTTTCTTCTTGGGTGTGGGGGCTTGTTTGCCGCTGAAGGCTTCTTCCTGACCTGGTGCAGGGCCTGAATCCCCTGCACCACCCCTCTGCAGGCGGCACGTGCTTGAAAGCAAGTGGTGTTTCGGGATGCGCTGCAACTTGGCAGACTTCTTCCAAAACATCACCTGCACTTGCCAGTGGCCTCTTCAAGAGTGCCCCCGGCTCAGCCCTGACCTCGACCCTGGCCCCTGTGATCTCCTCCAAAGCTGCAAGAAATCAAGCCGAGCTTCCTCCTCGAGCCTTTCATTGGCTTTGATCAAGTGGCTGATGGGCGAAGTGCTTTTCCCAAGCTTTTCCACCTCTGAGCCGCGAAGCGGCCAGAAAGCCTCAACTCCAAATTCTCCAAATCATGTCATCGGCTTCCCACATCCCACATCCCAGAGTGGATGGATGTAGCTTGGCACGCGGCCAAAAAGCTCCAAACCGGCCCTGCCCTTTTCCAACCCACAGATGCAGAGGTTGAGTACTGCAGGGAAGGCTGCCTTCCACTCATCGAGTGGGACCTTGCCACCAAACTGAGCTGCCCACACAGTGCCTACACCCAAGCCCTGCAAGGCTGCCATAACTTGCGAGGCTGTTGCCTTGACTGTTCTTTTGGCAACATTGGACCCATTCCATAGGTTTTGGAATGCGCTGATGAGCAGTGACTGCAGTGGCTACAATTGGATACTACAAAGAAGACGATCACACCACTGAAGCATGACCATGAGGTTGGCCATGAACTAAAATGTGCCACGTTCTACCTGATTAACAACAACCTTGAATTGCGTCCACTGAGGATCCAGGTTCAGTTTCTATTTTGGAATTTTTGGGGAGGGTCCACTGGCAACACTCAACTATCTATATAAGATCTGGTTGCCCAGCATCATGTCCAGGTCCTTTGGCACAACGGTTCATTTTCTTTGCCAGACCAATTTGGGAATGCAGGGGGCCCAGACATCTGCTGAAAAGTAATATTGAAAAAGCAGACGAAAACGCCAAAGAACTGGAACATGACAGTGAAGCAGACTGGAAGGCCGCCACTGGCCGTTGTCAACAATTATCTCTATCCCTGCCCCATCTCGTTTGCATGTGCGCCGCGCAACCCACCGCGAAGCGAGCTAGCCGGTTACATTGATGTCGGCTAGCCGAGAGCCGAAGGCTTGCACCGTTCCCCGAAAACTGCTGTCTTCAAGGTCCTGTCGTCGTTCGGAGGATAACTCGACTGGGTCCTTCACCCCTTGAGGCGCGTGCCCCAGCGCCACCCACCGCAGCGCCGGTTCCGGCGCCTGCTGCATCGGGCGCTCCTGTGGGGCGTTGCACGCGCAGAAACTCCTCAGGTGAGTTCCAAGCGTCGGACAGGTCGAGGGTTTGGAGGGCGCGACACCGCTAGGCACCCAGAGGTCATGTGTTTTTTTCGGCACATGTGTACTTCTCGGACGTTTTGTAAGAGAGGGTTCAAAGGTCCATGGACCGACTTCGATACCAACATGGCCAGAAAATCCGGGCGTTGGAGTTTGCTTGGCAAGATACAGAAGGTGTGAAAAAACTTGAGTTGATGCGTCTTGGGTGATCTGTCCCGCGTAGATTCCCTTGCGGCTAGGGGGCTATAAGGCACTGTCATACAAAATATTATGTAGAAAGATTTCTGGATGTCTAGTTGAGAAATGTTGAGAAGAAACTACAGTAGTACCGGCAAAACGAGGAAGGACCGCCTTTTCTCGATGTTTCTCAACAGTCACGTCTCTTGTGGTCCGGCTCTCCATTCTTAGTGACCTCGAGAAGTTTTGGTTTGAAATGTCTGAAGCATTTTTGGGGGGGGCGCTGGTCCCCTTCCCCCTTCTCCACTCTCCTCAAGTGACAGTTCTCAAGTCGGACGGACACTCCAGAGACTACAGGACGACGTGTCGTTCGTTGACCCCTACATCCACGGACTGAGAAGCACGGACTGAGAAAACAGGGAAGCCTTTGATCTTTGTAAAGAAAAACCCAAGCGAAATCGCAGCCCGAGAAAGGTGCAGAAAACCGCCCCATGGGGCACGTGCAGGCCGCCCAAACTGAGCTTCAAGGTGCTGCCAAACTGAGCTTCGGCAAGAGGGGCGGCTCCTGACCGGTTGTCGAACTTTCCGCCAGGAAAGCCATGGGATAGGCAGTTCAGCCAGGGGCGGCATTCAGCTCAGGAACAGATGCACCACGAAGGTCCCGGGTCACCATCCTGAGGTCCTGCTGTAGAGATCAACTTCGAAGAAATGAAGGCAGTCGACCCAGGCAATCCACGTGTGAACAAGACCTTACCTAGACTGGAGCAGACTTCCTTGAATAGGTCAATTACACACAAACTAGTGCCGCATGGGAGGGTCTTCGACTGGCTTTGTCTGGATATGTGCCGGGACGCCGCGTATACGAACGCTTCCCCTACCCCCTGCACTTCTTCTGCGCCAGTCCCGTGGAGCACATCCATCCCCTCAACCGATCTCACCCATCCCCTCAACCTCGCCACGGGTGATGTGCCAGCAAGGCTGTCCCCAACCTGGCGGACGATGCCATCGGATCGAATCGACAGTTCAAGCCATTGCTTTTGGGGTGGAGAATGGTTGCACACGGCGCACGTGTCGCACTCAAATAAGAATGGGTGAAGGTCGGTTTTGTCTTCAAGGGATGTGGTCTCTGGCCATCTGCACGTCTCGGCACGCCGCCCTGGCGCCCCTGGCTGCGCCGCCGCCCCTGGCGGCCACGCGCTTGCCGCGCCTCGCGACTCTCCGCGTGTGGCGGTCAAGCGGAAACGCCTCGACGAGGCCAGGAGCAGCTCCTGGTGCGAGTCGACTTGATTACCGTGGGTGCGGTCCAGGGGTCGCTGTGCGCGGGAATGGAAGAGTTCCCCAAAGGCGCGAGAAGACAAGGAGTTCAAAAATTGAGGTGAAGAAATCACTTGCATGGATCAAAGCAAGTCGAGTTGTTTGTCCTTTTGGTGTTAAGCCTCCTAGGGGGGTTATCAGTGCCTGCTGCGTAAACTCGCTTGTTGCTTCCATCACCCTGGCCACAGCCCTTCACCGGATCTCGTCCTGATACCGGGGACTAAGAGGCGGAAGGAGGAGCTCTTTCCTGGCGGAAGGAGGGAACAGACGCCCCGACGGAGGGTCTTGGGATTGACAGAACTGCAAGCGGCAGGTGAGCGAGCGAGAACGTGGTTGGATTCATATCGATTCATAGCCCAACTAACACGGGGGTCTTGCAAGCCCTCTTCAGGCGTCAATTCCCACAGGTCTTCCGACAAAACGCAAAAACAAAAAGGAAACCGCTTGACAAGGCCAGGGCCCATTGCGCCTGGAGCCTTCCGAATGTTTTGAGCTCTGACCACATGTCCATGTCACAGAATGTCTCGCCCGAAAGAACTGACGATCCGCCAATCGGCAAAGCTCCGCATCTCTCCTCTGGCTACGGACAAAGATCTCCAGCTCCTCCGCCACGCGGGCGGGACATCGTCCGCGGGTCTTGTCGAAACTCACCAAGAGACACGGCCGATGAGAAGATTGTAGGGATGAAAAATGATCCAAAAGATTCCAAAAAACCATCGCTTGTTCGACTCAATACAATTCCCCAGCAACATATAATATATATATATATACCTACTATATATATATATATATATGCCATTATATACCTGGCAATCCATCCTCTCCCAACGACCAAATTTACCTCCGCCGAAGACCGAAGAGCTGTTTGTGAACAATTTGCGGGCTCTTCGAAGAAGAGCGCGCGGAAAATTCAACTCCCGCGCTCCTCTTCCAGCTGCAGTAGGAAGTCTCGTGGCCCGGTGAGGTTGAGCTGGGCCACCAAATCCAAGCCTCGGGTCTCAAAGGCGGTCGTGCTAGTAGCGCCGCAGGTGCGCAGCATGGTTGGAAATGGTTGGCGCTGCTTGGAGAGAAAGGGTTGCCAAAAATGGGAGAATATGAAGGAAAGAACTCTGGGTTTTGGAGGTGACAACATTCTTTTTCGATTCCAGGTTGACTTTTTCACGGGGCTTTTAAGATAGGGACTCCACTGGCATAGTTGCCGAAAAAGGCTAGGAGCCGAGCCCCAACCAGATTTCGCCTACACGCCAACTGAGCCTATTGGTTTGCTGACAGAATCGAACCTGTCGTGTGATGACTTCATCAATAGCGCACCTCCTGGAAAGCTGGGCAAGCGCGCAGCCATGGCAAGCACACATGAGCGCGATTTAGCTCGCGACCGGTAGTGGTGGTACGTACGTGCTATGGAGGGTGGAGAAGCTCGAGTGGGGAGTCCATCCCCATTTTTCGAATCAACAGGATCAGGTCAGACCCTTGCCTCTTCAACTTGGAAGCCTGCTGGCTTTTCAGACAAGGAGATCCACTTATAGGTGTTGATCGAAGGAGCGGGTGGAGGATTTGATTGCTCCCAGGCTCCGGAAGGTCTTTCGACGGCGGCCGAGCGGCGTGGGACAGAATGCGACCGGTGTGGTCTGACACGGAGGCCGAACTGCAGAAAGTGCGTGTTCTCGAGTTGGGCGAGTAATTGAGCTGGGGATCGTTGGTTTCTTGTCATTGCGGCCAAAAGAAAAAGAACGAGGAAAACCTGATAGACAGTTTGCTCCTGCCGCCCCAGGTGTCTTCAAACTCTGCACATCCCACTCTGAAGCACAAGTTTGCCTCAAGAACCTGCTGAAGAACTTTTGCATCGGTCACGTCCCCAGATACTCAAGCTGCTTGGGCCATGCATTACCAGGTGCGTCAAAAAGGCCTTGCTTGGCCTCCAAGATACAGTGGGTCAGGGCAATGGAGGACCCAAAAGGATTTGGAACATGAGCCAAATGAGTCTTGTCAACCAATCCCATGAGGTGTCAACCAATCCCTATGTCCAGTTGACCATGTGTTGACCATGTTGACAAATGGATGCGTGTGGTTTTTCATTTTACACGCTCAACCAACCCCATCAGACAGCACCAGGCGCTGCGAGCTTCATGACCCAGATCCAAACATGATGAAGTGCCGAGGCGCATCATCCCCATGTTGTTCCACTGGCAAAGGTTCTAACAAGTGTTTCTTTTGTAGGTGAAGCAAAAGGGCAGACATGCGACATGACATAGGAGTCCTGAAAAAGTTCGTCATTGTCATTGTCATGTCTAAAATCCGACTGGATGTCCATTCTGATGAAAGAATCCTTCAGCTGGAACCGTTTTCCGCCATGTTTAACACATGTTTCTCTCTCTCTCTCTCTCTATCTATCCATCCATCCATCCATCCATCCATCCATCCATCCATCCATCCATCTATTTATCTATATATCTACAATCTACTTATCTCCCTGCCTACCTACCTCCCTGCCTACCTACCTATCTACCTAGCTATCTATCTCAGGTTGTGTCATGTTCTTCCCCAAAACCGTCTTTTCGCATGATCACTTCGACCCGACTTCCATCCCGACCCAGGGACCGTCGCGTTGCGAGTCCGGCAGAGAAACCACTCGGTGTGGGAGAGTGTCCGTCCTTCGAAACTCGGTGAACAAACCGCCTAGGTTGGATCATTCGAACGAAACACCAGTAAAATCCATGAAAATATCATATCCAAACCCTGATTGTCTTCCAACACCTGAGTTCCACAAACACCTCCAGTCCCCGTCTCCGTCTTGAGTCAGGCCCGGAAAAAAACAATAGCGCCAGGCCCGGTGAAGGGGGTCAACCTGGCGTCCCTTGCTCGATGCCGCCGTCCATTCCACCTCGAAACCATGGAACATCTCAGAACTCGACGGAGGGCGGTCGCATCGAAGCGCGAAAGACACGTGGAGCCTTTGCGTCCGCCAGGGAAGACGCGAAGGTGTGATTTGGAAGAGTGTATGATGGGAGAAGTCATGGTTGTAAGACGGATCGAAGGGGCTCCCAGAATATGCCAGGATCAAGGGGCTACACATGACTACGCCTCCCCCACAAGACCACAGGCTTGCAAAAGAAACCAATTCTTCAGAGTCTACCTGAGTGCTAATAGAGTCCGTGGTTTGTGTGTGCATCGATCTCCAGCTTCCAAACCGCCTCCCCACTCGGATCGTCACACGACGATTCGTCACGCCCCCACCAGCTGGAAGTAGTCGGCGCAAAGGGCCCGCAGAACCGATGCCTTTCCAGACCCAGGAGGGCCCTTCAAGATCAGCAGCCTGGGGGCGCTTTCGGACCGGACCAGAGAAGCCCGGGCCAGAGAGGCCTTTTTGGATGGTCTTCGATGTGACCAGCTGGGTATGATGACCATCATGCAAAACCAAGTCTACATGCATACCCATCATGCAAAAGAACATGTTTGCTGTCATGTCGCTGGAAAGGGCAGTGCTGCACCTCCTATCCTGGGAGGGCCCTGGGAGTGGTGGGTGAGTCGCCTGAAACAGTGCCAACAGTCGCCAAGCCTAAGCGTGAATGAATCTATTGCAAAAAAAATTGCGTGTGTAAGATGCTCGTAACGCTACAGTAAAGATTAAGCAGTACCAGCAACATCTTAAGTCTTTAAACGGTTTTTGGATGCTGTGGGCTGTCGTGGCCTCTGTATCTGAAAAGACTGCCCACAGTTGCAAGTCGTGGATGGCTCTTGCATGGTCAAAAATCACCACCAGTAAAGATGGTGAATAAGAGGAATTGGCCTCTCAATCTTGAATGTACCTGCATCAACAGAATTGGCCGCCACTTCCCAAGACCTCGTCCTCACCGGCGCTGCGAATGCCACATGCTGGACCGAGAAGGCCCATGGATCGCTCGTGGCTCCCACCCGTGGCCCAACTGCCGCCCGCCCTCGCCTCCGCCCATTGGGCTGAAACAAGAAGTCCTTCACCTGGCGGTCCATCGACACGACAAGCGCCTCTCTCTCTGTCCAAACCCCGTCCAGTCGGCCGTGCGTTCATCCTCCGAGCCGGAGCGGGAGACGGAGCACAGGGGAAGAGTAGCTTATTGTTCCTAATAGCTTCTTGTTACTACTAGTAAGGCACTTGTTACTAGAAGCGATGCACTTGTTCCTAGTAGCTTATTGTTCCTAGTAACAAGAAGAGTAGCCGGAGCTGAGTTCCTGAGGGACAAAGCTCATCCAGGCGCAAAAAGGTCGAGACCCTCCGAAATGGTCTTCGTCGACCTCCAGGTGGGTCTTCCGGCGAACGTCCCCATGCATGGTGTTTTTAGCACATCGGGGATCTAAAAGGCCACAGTCTTCCAACAGCGCTGGGTTGGTCGTGACTTGCGGGATGTGCAAGCATGATCTTTGCCTGTGGGCGGCTAACCTGTTTGTTTGAAGGTTGGCTGGAACCTCAACGGCTTACGAAGCCTCGATGAACACCTTCCCGTTTTCCAAACCCTGTTCTATCAAGAGACTCCGTACAGTTCGCTATCTTTTTCGGGGGGAAGGCCTCTCAAGAGAGAAAGCTCCTTTGAATTGCTTTGGAGGGCGAGTTGTGTTTTTTCCGTTGCCCAACGAGAGAGCTTTCAACCCAGAACTCGGATCTTTCCTTTGCAGCTTGGTGAAGGAGCTGCATTTGCAGGTTCCGTGTGCGCGTGCAACTCCTGGAACCTCCAGTGTCGGGGGGGATCTCCCAGAACCGCTGCCGGGATTTGACCGAAGCAGGTTCGCCGGAGAGCCAGCCATGCATTGCAAATGCAAGACCAGAAACTGACTCAAAGGATTTGCTGAGACGCGTTATCATCAGCAGAAGGAGGGACGTGGCGGATGCAGGACGTGGCTCTCCAGATGAAAACGTGCGACAGCATCAATACATATATGTATTGACGAAGCTAATGGGCTTCCCTGGACTGTCCATCGTGCTTGGCATTTGGTGCCGGTCCTCCAAGTCACATGGGTGCCAGGAGTCGCAGTTCAGCACGATTGACTGAAAGGCATCCACTATAAGTGCCTCTACACCCGGCAACTGTCTTCTTTTTTGGCCGAACCAGCAGTACCGGTAATTGCCGTACCAGCTGTACCGGTGATGCAGATTTGATTCGATCGCATAAGAGGTTGGTAGTTTTCCCACGAACCATGATTAACAACAACGACGACGACAACAAAGCGACCATTTCCAGGAGATGAATGAAGCGGTGGGAGTTTTGTGCGTTTGGGCGTGATACAACCTTACACTAGACGACCACACTTCACACACTACTCCACACTAAATCTCCCAACTCTTCCCACATCCGACCAGGCTTAGTCTACTCTCCGTCAACCACTCTTTCCAGTCACGTCTCCGTCTCAGTCACAGAGGCGAAACCGCTTCGTCTTTCTCGTTTCGCCTCAGCGATCTTCTTCTTCGCAACCACCTTGGTGGCGATCGGCGCAACGGGGACCGGCCAGATGGGACCCCGGATGGGATGTGTTCGAAAAAGCCCTGACCGGGATGGGACGTGTCCGGGTAACCCGGAAAGGAAAATCCATATAAAATTTGATGTGAAAACATAATAGAAACGTGGAAATTCATCTTGGAAGTTGGGTTGATGGTTGGTGGAAGTTTGGGAAATTATGCCAGCATAGACCCCAAACAGATTCAGCATGTTTGTTGCGTCAGCTGATTGAATTCCAATGTTGTTGGTAGCACAGCGTTCGCCAGCCCGGCCAGCGGACAGCAGGGGGACAAGAGAAGGACACAGGGTTTGCACAAGAGGACACCAAGAGGACAAGAGGAGGACACAGGGTTTGCTAGCGTGGCCAGAGGACAGAAGGAGGACACAGGGTTGGCCAGCGGGAGGACAACAGGAGGACAAGAGGAGGACAAAAGCAGGAAAAGAGAAGGACAAGCTCCGGACACAGTGTTCAGGGGCGGGGCCAGAGGAGGAGAAGAGAAGGACAAGAGGAGATACTTTATTTCTGTTCTTTTTGTCTTTTGCTGTCCATACTTCTCTTGCTTCCTCACTTTGTTTGTTGTTTACGTGTATTTTCTTTGCCTCTTTTGATTCCTTAGCTTCGGGGTGTTTGCTTGTTCTTTCTATGTCTTTTCTTGTCGTGGTTTGCTGGGAATTGTCGTTCTTTTTGACCTGTTTGCATTCTCTTTTGCTTTGCTCTTCTTCATCTTGTGCTACCTTGTTTAAAGGTTTCCTTGGTTATCCGTGTGTTGCGCTCGTCCTGTTTTCTTGTTTGGTTTCCTATCTTTCCTTAGTTTGTTTGGTTTCTTTCTGCCGCTCTTTCTATTTTCCGAGGTACTTTCTGACCTTGGCTATCGTT